ATCGCCTCCCCCGGGTTGGTGTCTCGCTCCGGCCGGTGTTCCTGGGCGGAACCACCTGGCACCGGTGCTGACACCTGCACCAACTCCCGGTCTTCCGGGTCGGTGGCCGACCCAGCCGAGGTAGTCGCCTTCGTCAGCCGGTACTGCTGACTTGGACCTTCCCTCTCGGCTTTTGCCCGCAATCTCCTTTGCCGCTGATGTTCCCTCCTCCGCTCCTTGGCCCGTTCTGCCGACCGCGTCGATGTTGTCGGCTTGACGGCCTTGGGCCAGGGCTCCAATGGTCCTGGCTTGTCGGAGGGAGGTGCAGGTGGTGGCGTTGGTAGGCGGTCCACGTACGCCACGCGGCTTGGCATCCCCGTCCACTCTGTCGTTGGTGGGTGTGGTTCTGCTGGCGGCATCCTCGGGACTAATGGACGCCCCGGGGCCGGCCTCACCCAAGTTATGTCCCGTTTTGTCGCTGCGGGGCGGGTGGGTTGCCGTGGTGGAGGTGCCTTGGTGGTGGTAGCCGGTGTTGTAATGGTGGCCGTCACTGTGCCGGTAGCCGCCCTCCCGCGTCTCGAACCCGTTGCCTTGGCGGTTGGGACACGCTGGTGTGTCGACGGGCGTGGTGTCTTCGTCGTTGCTGGTGTAGCCGGCGACCTCGCCGCCGAGGAGCCAAGTGTCCTGACCAGGTCGGCGGTCCGGTCGGCCCACCCCCGGCAGTAGGCTGCCCAAAGGAGCGGCTCAGCCCGCAGTTGGTCCACCCCCGCCTTTTTGACGTCGTCCACTGTGCGGCAGCTTCCCGACGGTCCCTGTGACGTGACCGCCTCCCTAACCTTTTCTAACATCTCCACAACCTTGTCAGTGTTCATGTTTCGTTGATGGCGGCTGGAGGTGGTGCTGAAAAACGCGCAATCGTGTAATTAATTAATTATGTGCACGTTTTAGGCAGGACACGTGGATCTTTCTCGGCGGTAACTGATCGGTTAGGAAAACTCCTTTACCAACTCGCTTTTCCAGCCTTACAGGACCCCACCATTTCGGTGCGAATCCCGCATGAAATCCCTTGTGCGCCTTGGACAAGTGGTGGGCCTTATATAGTACCATATCTCCCTCCGAGAATTTGCATTTCTCGGCCACTATGTCCCGGTTGTGTCTGCCTGTGATTTCTACCTCCCGCTTAAGTCTATCCCTGTTTATTGGTTCGACCTGCGTATGTGAATCAGATTGTAGTGTCCAATCCCCGGGTCTTTTGCACTCGCGTCCGAGTACTAACACCGATGGTGGATATCCTGTCTGTACATTGCGCCGATTTCGAATAGCAAATAAAATGGGGGCTAACTTAGTGTCCCAGGTGGTGTGTTTGCCGTTGGTGAGTGCCGCGCGTAGTCCTTTCTTTAAGTCCTGATTGCGGCGCTTGACCGGGTTGGCTCTTGGGTGATAGGTTGGGGTGGTCCAACCTTCCGCCCCCCATCGTTCAATCGCGCTAAGCATGTCGTTTGACACGAACTGGGGGCCGTTGTCACTGAGACACACGCGAGGGTAGCCGAAATGTGAGAAAAATTCTCGTTCGAGCGTTTCGGTAATGTTCTTAGTAGTAGCTGTTCCGAGCGGGTATGCCTCGGTCCATCTACTGAAGCAGTCGGTGGCTACCAAGATATAGGATTTTCCTTTACTCGTGCGAGGATAGGGTCCCATTAAATCTATACTGATAACCTCCCAGGGGTGTCGGGGTTTTCTGGAGTTGGTGGGGTTATTCGACCGTGAGTTAAGTGGTTTAGTACATGCACATATGTGACATGACTTGACATATAGCCTCACGTCGTTTTTGAGCCCCTTCCAATAGAAACGGTCCCTGACTGCCCGGTAAGTTTCCTTCCACCCTGGGTGACTAGCCGTGATGTGGTCGTGATACCTCCAGATCACCTGTTGGGATTGGGTTTTGGGTATCACGACTGATAAGTGGCCCTTGACGTTTTGCCGCAGGAGGCCATCCGATAGGACAAAAGTGTCCGTATCTTTTGTGGCGCTTCTGGTGTTACGTGCAGGGGTGTCCGACTTAATTGATTTGATAATGTCTCGCGTCTGGGGGTCGTTGGATTGCCAAGACGCGAGTATTGTGGTGGAAAACGGGACGTCGGAGAGTACGTCGACCGTTTCGACTGTGGTGAAGATGTTATCAGCGGGGGGGGTTAGTAGTGTTGGTGGGTGGTGAGGTGGGTACCCCTACTA